AAATGTATTTCATGACTTCATGATTTTACAATAATGATTTAATTAATTTTAGCCGACTTAATTACAATATACGTAGCAATCTAATATCGTAAATTTTATATATATAATTTCATATTTGCCAGCTACTATGAAATATAAAAAAAAAAGACGATATAAACTACTAAGATAACATACACTACCAAAGAACAATCACATTATATATTAATGTAAATATATACATATATATATATTAAAATATATATAAGATTCTGTAATAGAATGTCAATCGTCCGTAATTATCTGCCCAATCTTATTACTAATGGTTCCAATCAAGTGATTGTACCAAAATTTGACCAAAAGTCTCCTTGTGTAATTGCTTAATCGACCGAATCGAGGCTTTTAAGAACAGAATCAGCACGAAAAACCTATATGAAAAACAAATTAAATATTTTACTGATGGAAGATTTGGAAGATCTATATAATTATAGATAATAAATTAATATAATATATTACTACCTTAAGGTCTAAGGTACCTTGTTCAAGGAATAATTGTGACTTTCCAGCATCAATCTTGTACGGAAAGACGATAGTTCCCTTTCGTATTGGGAATAAGAGACGCAAATAAATAAACTCGTACAATAATATAAATGAATCAAAGATATATATACCAAAACCTAAAAAAGAGGAAAGTATAAGAAAACAGCAAGAAGAGGAAGAACATCCTGATTACTTTGGAGTGACTGGTCACGAACCAATATTCACTCGTGAAGATCCTGAATTAACTCATTTAGATGAAAATTTTAAAAATATCAAAGGTGGTCAAATTAAACAAGAATCGAGAAAAGCAAAAGATTCCGAGCTTGGAAAATTAGGAATAGATACTATTAATATGTCAGATACTTTGAATGATGGTGAAGGTATTAAGGAATTAATTAAGAGAAATTTAGGTGTAAATCAGGAACATCACGCTGTTGATACAAAACCGGACTAAAATAATCAATGGTTTTTGATATTTTTTGTTCTCTTATATGGACCAATTAGCGCATTTATATTACACGATATTATATCTTAGTAAATAAAATTTTTCTCAGATTATCTCATTTTTGCCTCATAGCGACAGAAGTTGCAATTTGTTAAACAAGTATAATGCTGAGCGGTCTTTGTAACCGACCAGACTATATAAATCGATTAGACCGAAATTTAAAGGTTTTGGGTCAGAATCCCGACAAACAAATCTCGGGATGTCAAAATCCCGACAAGTTAACCCGCATTAGGTTAGCATTGGTTATAATTCCGGTCAATTTTGTCAGGATACTGTTTGTCAGAATTTAATCCAAACCCAATTTAAAAAATATACTGTTTTTATATACGTTCAGTACATTTACATATTCACATAAGTAGATAATTATCCGGATATCAATGGTAAACGGATATTCGAATAAATTCAGGTCGGATATTTGCATAACGGATATTTGATTATTGGAACTCTACATACAAGACTTTAAAAATATATACCCGTAGTTTGCGGAATAATAAACGTGGGATATTAAAAAATATATATACTTATTTATATCCCGTAAAAATGGTAAGAGGATACAAGGGTTGAAGACATTGTTCTTGGAGGGTGTACTTGAATGTATAGAGATAATATGTAGTTGTATAATAATGTTTTTTTAATATGATCAAATAATGTCGTCATACCATATATTTATAATAAAAAAAATAGACAAATAAAATTTTAATTATACTGTATATATTTGAATATAGCATTTTTTGTTAATTTTTAACTACGACAAAGCAAAATAGATCAATTTGAAAAGCATTATTTAAACGTATTCTTGGGATGCAGAAAAAGTAAATGGTGGTCTATTATCAAAATGTAATATAAAGTATTCCTTCCAATTTATAATTGCGTGCAGCTTACCCTGAGCTTCAAAATAAACTTGCTGATTGGGTTTTGGATAATCAAATAGGGCAAATACTAAATCATGAGAAGTTCTTGTTCCAAAAATGAAGAGTATCTTGATATTAGCAAATTTTTAAATTTATTTAATGGCTTGATGGATTTTATTATTGAAAAAGATTTTCAAATCAACGAACAACTATCTCTCAACAAGTGACAGAAGAATATTTGAAAAACAACGAATTTTTAAGTTTTCTAAATATAAACTTCAGAAATTAACAATCTATTAAGTGAAATAGGAAATATGGATGATACCCCTCAATTTTTTGATCACATAAATCTACATATTCCCATGGCATAAAACTTAATGTCGCAGATCATAATGAAATCGGATTAAAATTAAATAAAGGTTTCTATTTAACCTCTAAAACTCACTTATAATTGTTTATTATAAACTCTACTCTAAAACTAAACTCTACTCTAAAACTAACCTCTAACCCTAACCTAAAAAATGCACCTCAAAAATTATTTTTTAGTGGCTTTATTTTACATTGTATAATATTTCATTTTAATCTGCCACAATAATTGAATTACCGGTGACACGATTGATTTACACATCTGAAAGAATCCGTAAACTATCCTATACTACTATTGCAACATGGTTAAAAATTCTTGAGACGAAATCGATAATGATTTAACTAAAAAATCATTTGAACGTTACAGTATAATATTATGGAGTGTATGTAACAGAATTTGACTATAATGAATTTAAGGATAACGGGGAAGATGTATGTTTTTTTGTTCACGATGGACAGGATTGATGATGATAATTTTGAAATGAATGGGATTAATTGTTTAATCTAATTTTGCAATTCATATTATTGTGTTTATCGACTTTGCTAATTTTAAATATTTCGTATTTATTTTTGACAACGAGACCATATAAACTTACTCGCACTTTAGATGGTTAGCGTTAGGTAGATGGCGTTGCCAACGACACGTCAAAATTGGGCGAGTCATGGCATGCCATGTGCCAAAAAATATTATTGGCGTGCTATTGACGTGCTATTAAAAAAATTTTGCGCCAACCACCCTATTTATGACATACAGTAATACTCCTAACATATTTATGATTTTAGGTACTTTGCAACTAACCACTGAACTATAATATCTGAATCCAATTATGTTATATATATATATATTATACCAATTATACTGTAGTATATACTTGGGTATTTTAAGACCTCTTGCATTATAAACTATAAATTACCTAAATGGTCGGATACAAGACCCGGTTCTGTTGCTAACAGATTTATAAAATAATATAAACCAAAAGGGTTATTTTCCATTTCATTTTTTTTTAAAGTTTGTTAAACAGGTTTGAAAAGGATTTTTATACCGTATTAGGCGGCATCCATAATTTACGTTAAACCAGTATTGTTATAGAAATCTTAAAGATAATACAAAAATAATACTATATGGTATTATCATCAGGATTTCTATTTCTATACAATACAGTACTGGTTTAACGTAAATTATGGATGCCGCCTTATCATTATATATATAATTTATATCAAATATATATCTTAAAATAATTATATAATAATTCTAATTTATTTGTGTGCCTCCTGTCAATTTTGAGACTTATCTTACATTTTTTTTAAACAATTTTAGAATTATTTCTAAATTAAAAATTTGAAAAAAAATAAAATTAATATTGCATATTTCTATAATAGTATTTAGACAAATAATAAAATCATTGTAATTTATGTTTTAATCTTTGAAATGATTAATTCAATAATATGAATATATTAATAGAAAATAAGTAGTAAATTTTAATTACAACACTGTAATATAGTACTATTTACTAATTTTAGTATTAGTCTTAAATGAATAAATCATCAGCGTAGTTTTAAACTACTATACTACGTATAATAATCTTTTATTACGAATAATGGCAATTGCAAAAATTCTGCGCTACAGTATAAGCATCGCCATATGCTAATTATAAATTATATATTTACTAAATATACTGTATAATTCAAATAGAATATGCTTCTGTAAACCTTTTGGAAAATAATTATCCATTTGGATATTTAGATATTCGGTATGTACAAGGTGCACATGTGCAAATTTTTTAATATACAATATATTGTAAACAATTTATGCATATGTGCACAATATATATATAATTATAAAAATATAAAAATTATATTGTTGCAAGTAGAAAAATAAAAATTTACTTATATACTGTACAAGTTAAAAAAAAAAAAAAATTACATGCACACTGTGCAAGTAACTTTAATTTTGAATTTTTAGTACTGATTCAAATAACATTTTAAGATCTGATTAACAATATTAGCTTAGGCCTTTATAGTATTTAACTAACCCTACAATTTTTATATAGTATAGTTCCAGTACCTCTGATAAATAACATATATATATACTTATAAATTCATAA